ATATATATATATATATATATATATATATATATATATATATATAATATCATATAGTATTCCATCCCATACAGTATGATAAGCCAGTACACAAAAATAAACAATAACAAAAAAGTATGGAGAATCTTTGTAGCTGCCTACTTAGCGGCTGGCTACAGGTGTGCCTGACCACGCTTGCATAGTCAGGGTGACGTAGAGTGATACTGGGATGGGACTGCGTGTTCTCTTTCGGTTTCTCTTTTGGGCTTGCATATAGACCGCTGCCATGCCGGCTGGCTAGGTCGCTCTGTAAGTAAGGCTTTTTCCTATTAAATACCCTTATATTTTTACTTGGCTCTATATTGGTAATTTCCCATAATATCTGGTGTCAGAAAAAACTAAAAGTGGGAATGGGTAGCTTCTCAAAGGTTAAAGCACCTGTCATGTAGAGAATGGAGTTCACATGCCCAGGACTCAAATAAACACTAGGTGAGCTTGGAAGCCACCTGTAATCCCAATGCATGGGAGGAGGAGACAGGGAATCTTTCTCCCAGAGCAAGCTGCTTAGCCAGACTAGGCTTAGAGCTCTAGGTTAATCTAAATGACTTTGCCTTAATGAATATGGTGAATAGAAATCAAGGAAGAGTCCCAACATAAAATCAGGGTTCTACATGCTCACACACATTAATGTGACTACACACATGTGAATATGCACATACACATTGATGTACATGTAACACAAATACATAGAATTGATTTTTAATTCATTAAAACTGAAAATAGCACTGCTGTACGATCCAGAAGTAAAATGAGTATGTCAGAGAGACATTTGCATTCCCATGTTTTTGTAACATTATTCACAATAGCCATGCTATGGAAACAACCTAAGTGTTCATAAACTGATAAAGAAATGTAGTACATACATACAATGAAATACTATTTGGTCTGCACTCTGGAGGCAGAGGCAGGTGGATCTCTGTGAGTTCGAGGCCAGCCTGGTTTACAGAGTGAGTACCAGGTCAGGCTCCAAAGCTACACCGAGAAACCCTGTCTCAAAAAAATACTATTTGGTCATAAAAACAGAATTCTGTTGTTTGCAGTAATATACATGTAGCCAGAGGATATTTGTGGCAAGTGAAATAAGTCAGACAGTGAAAGACAAATATTTCATGACAACTATGTTTTTAGTGGAAGTGTCAGATTCCATGCCATAGAGGTAGCATGGGAATTTCCAGTGGTGATTCCACTGTGCATCCCAATGGAAATGTTGACAATTTATTTACCTATTCAAGAGAATGCTACTATATGTTAGGCACTAATTAAGCTGGTCCAAAAAGAGAGAAACTCCTGTTGTCATCACTCCATCTCTATTATCATGAGCCAAGCCACCATCATCTCATACCTCGTCTATCACGAGACCTTTCTAAATGCTTTCATAGCTTCTTCTCACTCTTGCCCTTCTCCTTATAGTCTACTTCCCATTTAGGAGCTAGAGAACCTGTCAAAACACCACAGATTCTACCTCTCTTCTGCTCTTCCCTCCAGGGGCTTCCCATGTCAGTCAAAGGGAAATTCACCACAATCAAACCAGCAGTAGAAAACAGACTCAGACAGTGAGATCATTTCCTCCCACGCTACTCCTTTCTTGTTCTTCTCAGGGCACATGGCTTCCTTGTCAATCCACAGAGATGCCAAATACATCCCATCTCCCACTCACCACATGCAGCCTTTGGAATCCATGTGACTCTGGGCTCAACAGTCACCTTGTATGAACCCACATTAAACTAATTTCCCCACTACCACCATAACTCCCCACCCATTATAGAAATACTTCTTGCATTATCTCAGTCTGTTGCTCTCTATATATCTATTGTTAACATATTATATTACTTTGTTTATTGATGTCTCCCTTTAATGTCTCTAGCACTAGACAGTGCTGTATAGGGTCAGAGATTTTTTTCTCTTTGGAGCCTGTGTCACAAATAGCTAGAATAGTGTCCAATGTACAATAAACTCAAACACTCATTGATTTCTTCAACTGTACTGGGCTGAAGGTGAATAAGTAAAGTATAACTATTTTCTTTAAGGATCTGCCAACCAGTAAAATAGAAGTCAGCAAGCTTTCTCTATAAATGGCAGGGTAATAAATGTTTTGTATTTTGTGGGCCATGGGATATGTGTTGCAGAAATAATCATAAAGAATACATATAGGAATGTGCATAGCTATGCTCCAATACAACTGTATTTTTAAAAACTGATAATGAGCCAGATTTGAACTACATATCTTATTTTTAGAGGAGAGAGATATACACAACTGGCCAGAAAATAAAATGAAAATCAGCAGCAGAAAGGCATGAATAAAATGCCAGTTGTATAAAGCAACAGCAAAGATGGAGGAGCCAGACTTGGACAAGCGAGTACATGTTCCCTTGTTAAGAGGAAATTATTTGCAATGGGATTTCACCCTGACATCAATGGAAATGATGTGAGTTCAGTGCTTGGGGCAATTCATGTAGGAATGACTTAATAGCAGCTGCTCAGATCTGAATCTTTTCCTTTTTACTGCCATAGTACTCAGCACCGTGCTTTGGGCAAATGTCTACACTGTAAATAGTTAACTGAATTAAGTGCTGAGAAAATAGCTAGATGTGATAAGTAAAGTACAGCCAAATTTCTAAGTCATTGGGTCACATACTCCCAAAAAGGAAGGGGTTCTCAGTTGATATCTACAATAAATTCCACTCTCCACTTTTATCCAGAAGTTGCCACACATCACCTTCATTACTCAATAATATCTACATATGCCATTCCCCTCTTCAAGAAATTAGACTGACTTATTTTCTAACATTTAAAAATATTTAGAGAAATTAAATCTTT